TCAGAGCAGAGCACATGGAAATTCACTGATGACCCCAAATCCTTTAGCGGACTGTGGCAACTACTTCCAACACCCTCTCACTCTTTCCTTGTGTATGTGAGTATATGTATGTCTATGGTACGGGTACACACAGTACTCAGTTCATTTTATTTTTCTTGCTTCCTCATTACTACTAATAAGCAAAAAATTAAAATAATTAAAAAGATAAAGGGCCAAGAAGGAAGGACAAAAGAGAAGTCAAAAGCTGGCTTCCTGCCTAATTGGATCATCAGGTTTAAGAAAGAGTTGCCAGTCTTCATGTGTCTCATGTTAAGTTGATCTGAGCTCAAGTAAGGGGCTACAAGGCAAAAAGCCCTAAAGGCGAGAGTAGTCCAAGAGGGGTCCCAGCCATCTAAAAGAACCAGACCTAAACCAATTGCAGACATAGGCAAATGGAGACATCACCAGCTTTTCTAAGCATCAGTTTAGAAAAAGAACACAAAGACTGACCAGATTGACTGGAATCACTAGTTAAGGGACAGCCCAACAAAGAAGTTTCAATGTCAGGGAAAGTTACTCGAACATTTTTGAAAAACTAGTTGACTATAGCATCACATTTATTTGGAAAATATTAGCTGTTAATATAACAGATATACCAGCACATCTGCTATGAGATGGGGGAAAAGGAAGGAGGGAGGGAAGAAGGAGGGAGGGAAGGAGGGAGGAAAAGAGGGAGGGAGGGAGGGAGGGAGGAAAAGACAGAGCGAGGGAGGAAGGAAAACAGGGTGGGGAGAAGAAACAGTGGTTTCTATATAGGGCGGTATAGGTGCTATGAGCTGAACTATTTCCCCCAAAAATTCATATGTTGCAGCCCTAACTCTTAGTACTTCAGAAAGTGACTACAGTATTTGCAGATAGGGTCTTCAAAGAGGTGATTAAGTTCAAAGGAGGCCATTAGAGTGGGCTCTATGCAATTAGATGGGTGTCCTTATAGAGGAAACTTGGCTAAACAAGAGACACTAGGGATGTGTGTGTAGAGAAAGGACCATGTGAAGAGGCAGCATGAGGGTGGCCATCTGCAAGCCAAGGAGAGAGACCTCAGAAGAAACTGACCTTGCTGGCACTTTGATCTTGGGAATAATAACAGTACCTTGCCTCATAAGTTTATTGTAAGGACAAAATAAAGCCATGTAAAGCACTTAGAACAGTGGCACATAATAAGCACTCAAGAATCAGTAGCTGATAGCGCTGCTACTCTTATTTTTTATTTTTTTAGAATGGGGTCTCACTCTGTTGCCCAGGCTGAAGTGCAGTGGCATGATCATAAATCACTGCAGCCTTGAACTCTCAAGCAGCCTAGACTACAGGCTTGCACCAACATGCCCAGTTAATTTTTAATTTTTTTTTAAAGATGAGGTCTCACTGTGTTGCTCAAGTTGATCTAGAACTCCTGGCCTTAAGTGATCCTCCCACCTCAGCCTCCCAAGTAGCTGGGACCACCGGTGTGAGTCACTGCACCCAGCAACTGCTGGTGTTATTGATAAAGGGGCTAAGGATACCTCAGCAGACCTAGGGAGATATGTGTAACCTTTTGTGTAACAATATTGACTGAATGAAAACTTCACCACCAGCTTTCTAACTGACTTCAGGTATGTAACAGAGCGTTTCGGGGCCTTCATTCTCATGCTTCTACAATAAGAATCAAAATTTCTGTTTATGCTCAACCACTTTGCAAGAAGGCTATTTAATTTTCATTGGGGGAAAAGTCCCACCAGAAAGAAAGCTGAAGGTGGTCTGTCTAGAGTAACTATATCCACCTCAGCAGGTGCTGTTTGGCCAGCATTGTGGACTAGAAACACTCCAATTCAGGATCACTAACTCTATTAGCCTAGGGGAGATTTTCTGATGTACCTTTCTTTTCTGGGATCTGAGAGAGCTGCTGAAATTTGAGAAAGCAGTTCTCTATCTGCCTGACCTCTGAATCTCCTGAGAAAACAGGTACGAGGGGGAGGAGAGATGATAAGATAGCATTGGATCTACTTTTCTGCCCTAACAAGGTTACCTCCACAGGCAGGAAGTAACTTCTGTTCCAACCCTGTTCCACATGACCGAGGCAGGAAGGACTTACGCTGTGATGTGGGAAATTCACCGTTGTTAACTGTAAATTTTTCAATTTGGTTTATTTTTACCATTCTTTGGAATTATCCTCTCTAGCTCTGAGACCAAGGCAGGAGTTCTGATTCTATAGTTTACCAAGTGAAGTCAGACAAGTCACAGATTGTGGGAGATGTAGAAGGCGGGACAACAGTGCCTGTGTCAGCGGCCTGTGACTGCTGATCCCAGCTTACAGAGGAATGCTGAACCAAAAGCACCCTGACCATTAAGACAGAGGCTGTGCCCCCTGCCCTCCCCAACAAAGACAGTCCCCTCCACCAAGAGCTAAAATGGTTTATCTATGAAATGCTTTGGGGTCCTTGGCAGAAAAGGTCTTGTCCATATAAGCTACCTTGGGAGTCCTATTAAAATGCAAATTCTGGTCCAGGTGGTCTGCAGATGGCCCCTGAAATTCTGCATGTCTAACAAGCAACACCCATGTGATGCTGATCCTAGGACCATACTTTGAGTTACACACTTGGAGTAACTGTGAGTTTTTTTTTTTTTTTTTTTTTGAGACGGAGTTTTCGCTCTTGTTACCCAGGCTGGAGTGCAATGGCGCGCTCTCGGCTCACCGCAACCTCCGTCTCCTGGGTTCAGGCAATTCTCCTGCCTCAGCCTCCTGGGTAGCTGGGATTACAGGCACGCGCCACCATGCCCAGCCAATTTTTTTTGTATTTTTTTTAGTAGAGACGGGGTTTCACCATATTGACCAGGATGGTCTCGATCTCTTGACCTCGTGATCCACCCGCCTCAGCCTCCCAAAGTGCTGGGATTACAGGCTTGAGCCACCGCGCCCGGCCCTGAACTGTGAGTTTTAAGCACCTGGGGCAGTGATACTCCAAGAGTGGCCTAAGGACCCCTGTATCACAATCACTTCGGGACTTGTTACAAACATTCAGTCCTTGCCATTACTTGCAGACTCTCTCAAACAGACCTGAGGATGGGGCCTGACAACTGTGACAACTGTCATGTTTAACGAGCCCTTCAGTTGATTGATATGGATAGTACATTTCAGAATTATTGCACGAAATCAGAGGTTCTCAACTCCCATTCCATGCTAGAGTCACCTGGGGAACTTTTTTAAACACAATGCTCAGGCTTCATCACAGATCACGAACTCATCCTCTCCAAGTGTGGGGCAGGGCATCGGTGTTTGTTTGTCTTTAATTTTATTTTTAATTGACAAATAAGTGTGTGTACTTATAAGGTACGTATAGTGTGATGTTTTGATATATGTTTGCATTGTGAAATGATTAAATCAAGCTAATTAGGTGAGCCTGGAACATATTAGGGTTCAAAATCGCTGCTTTAGATGAAAGTTTTCCCTATTAATTTCTACCGATATATAACATGCATCTTGAAAACTGTAACTATCACAAAGGTATACATGAATATTTGTAGGGAGGAGATGACAGGAATATCTGTGGAGAGGGATATCTGTGATTTTAGGATCAAGAGGCTTAGGCTCCAATCCTAACTGCCACTTGGAATTATACTCCCTGAATGTCAGTTTCTGCCTCTGTAAAACAAGAGGCCACACAAGCCTTTTTAGGCAGTTCCTCCGCAGCCTTAAAGAGCAGGCTTGAAATATTCCTGTTGGGGAGCCCAAAGTTAGATGTGGCCCCAAAACACCATATTCAAAATCACAGCAAAGCCCTGTGCCTGGAATTGGGATGCCTCATTGACATGTTCTTGCCAGTTAAAGGGAATGTTTTGCATTTTTCTAGAATTGATGAAAATATTAAACACCCCCTTCCTTTGTCCCTTTCTAGAAAAAAAAATAGGCCATAATTCTTGTCCTGTCTACCTCAAATATTATGTGAAAAACCTTGTACACTGTAAAATGCTATCCAAAAGGAAGGATTATCATTTAGAGATTTAAACCATGATCTTAATGTTTAAGGCAAATTTAAGTCATGAAAACAGAAAGCAGTAGTAATAATTTTACAAGTGATTTCTTTTTCTGAGCTTCTAAATGTGACCTGCTAATCCCTCCACAGTCCCACATTTGGGAGTCTGAGGACACAGGTCTGCCAGCCTAGCCTTGTAGCGCTCCTGCTTCTCTCTGGCTGGTTTATCCCCCAGCCCCCTGTGACCATGGGATTCTCCCTGCTAGCTATTAGGGGTTGTTTGGCACAGACTGGCCCGTGGGTCTGGGTGAACAAGGAAGGAATCTAATTCTTGCTCTAGGAAGTTCTTACCACCATGCCCAGCTAATTTTTGTATTTTTAGTAGGGACAGGGCTTCACCATGTTGGCCAGGGTGGTCTCGACCTCCTGACCTCAAGTGATCTGCCCGCCTAGGCCTCCCAAAGGGCTGGGATTACAGTGAACCTGGCCTGGTCTGTCCTGGTTGTGATATAAATCCTTATTGTGACCCCAAAGTTCTATAAAATACTCTTACCCCCATCAAGCTCCACTGCATACAAACAGGACTGTATCAGACCTCAATATTAGCTATATATGCGCGTGTGTGCGTGCGTGTGTGTGTGTGTGTTTGAGATGGAGTTTTACTCTTGTTGCCCAGGCTGAAGTGCAGTGTTCTCGGCTCACTGCAACCTCTGCCTCCCAGGTTCAAGCAGTTCTCCCGCCTCAGCCTCCCAAGTAGCTGGGATTACAGGCATGCACCGCCATGCCCGGCTAATTTTATATTTTTAGTAGAGACAGGATTTCTCCATGTTGGTCAGGCTGGTCTTGAACTCATGACCTCAGGTGATCTGCCCGACTTGGCCTCCCAAAGTCCTGGGATTACAGGCGTGAGCTACCATGTCTGGTCAGCCATATGTATATTTTTAAAATCATATGGGCATATGGGCAAGTACTGCTTAGGATGTTGCTGGTACATTCCTAAAAGAGGCTACTTAC